AACAAATTACCAAGCTCGGCGAACAGGCGAAATAGAATACAGTTCACCCGAGCTACGATAACTGATTGTTAATACTTTGTCTATATATATATTTATATATACATATATATATATATATAGTTCACAGGAAATACGTCAGCCGGGAGAGTTTCAACATTGCGACTATAAAAATCAATAGCATTCAAGGCCATGGTAATTAACACGACTGCTTGAAAGGCTGCATTATTAGAGTGAACAAATTGATCGGAATTTCTCGTGTTTACGCACGCATGTGAGGAGATGAGTGAGATGTCCTGGTCAGGTTTGAAACACGGGTTGTTCTTTTATTCCACGAAATATGGCTAGCATTTATCTGACCTGGGTATGGAGCTGAAAACGATCTGACCAGGTGCCGGATGTAATCGAATACGATTATCAGCAGTTGTAAGGTTTTTTACTGCTGACGCACCTAATAAGACACCGGTAGAGTAGGTGATTGGATCTCTTAAATTTACATTTCTTCGGATTTTTATACTGGGAGGTTTCTCTTTCAGTTGAAGTTAATCGTCCATTAAAACTTAGTGATACAATGACTTTGAAATTCATTTGTTTTTCTTACGCTGAATGGGTTATTAAAAAACTCCATTGAATAATATGTTGCGTCTCCTGATAGTAACGCTACCCGCACTTAGCGTACCACAGCATGGACTCGTGACTGACATAGATTCTCTAGATTCGCGAGATTTTTAATCTACAACACATTTGAGGTTAATATAAACGAAAGTGATGTGTTGCATCTTAATTTCTAAAATGAAATTAGAAAGCCTGTATTGTAGAGATTTTAGTTTTTATGATTTATGTATGTATTTTACTAAAGAACTTGAGATGCAGTCACTGACATAATATGAGTCGACATCGTCCACTCCCTGATGCTACATATATACATTTTGAGTCTCCCTTGAATAGATAAGCTTCGCAAATACGATAATGCTTCTCACTTTCGTGATCTAATTTTTAAGTGAATCAATAAGCGGTATTCTAATAAGGGCTATTTGGAATTTACCCATCCATTGTTGTTAAACGAATTGAATTTATAACAATCCCAGGCAAGGGAAAATGTACGAAAGGACACATACCTTGAACCAGTGTTTACCAAATTTCCTACAACGTACCACATGGAAGCCGGAAAAGGCAAAATCTGTTTGATAAAACCGTTTTATCCAAAAATGGCGTTAAACGCTTATTCATGTTTCACAACCGGAGGGCTCATTGACCATGTAAACGAAGGGATAACCATGGAGTCCATCAGAACGGAGCATCAGCCACCAGTTGTACGAATAAAAATGAGAGAAAGTGATAAGTCGTATTTCAGGAGGATGCATGGATATGGTGTGTATTTCAGTGCAACTCTACGTAGGGAATAAGGCACAAATCCATTAAGTGAATAGAATGGACACTGAAGTCCGGATGAATCACCGACAATTGATTGAGGCCACACAATGAACACAGAAGCGTGAAGTTTACAATTAGTTAACCTTCTATGTGAAAGTGAGGGGTCGGGTGTGAATAAAAATTTCCAATGACCTAACGCATAGGTTACCGACCCAGAATGAGTGGTTTTGGTGACAGGACTGTGTGAAGTGTTCTTACTTCCGATGTGTCTTTGTTCATTGAGTGAATGAGCTTCGGTAGATAACGGCAGTGCTTCCTTCCCGTTTGGTAAGATAACCTATTGGGACCAGTGGATTAAATGAACTAAACACTATAGTGATATGTGATGGGGAGCCTGAGCAGAGCCTCTATTCTGTCATTCAGCAACGTGTTCTGAGAAAATTTCATTTTATTTGTGGCTACGGAAACTTGGGGACGAACTATTTTTTTATTATTTCAGTCAGTTAAAACGTTGATCGGGGCAGTTACGGAGCATATAACAAAATAGTAATACCTTTGTAGGAGCCTTATACGTTTATCGAACAATCAGCTACACATGCTATTTCAACACGGATTTAAAAAAAACAATTCATTGATTTCCAACTAATTCATGAACAGCGAATTATTTACATCTCAATACGCAAATCCTAGTCAAATGAACTAATAAGGATATATACGGAACTAATTTTGCTCAATCTATGAACTTCTAGAGTCAGAGTGAAATCGGTGGGATACGAACTCACAAATGCTCATCCTTGTTAAGGTCGTAAGGTGATATCTTAGTTAATAACCATTGGTGGCTTTGGACGTTATTTAATCCTCATGATATGGTCCACTATTCAAATAAAAGTCAATCTTAATCATTTATGTGATACAGCAACTTGGCTGAGGAGTAAGATTTTACCCCTTCATAGGCAGGATTTTGCTATATCCCTTGCTAAGTGGGTAGACGTCGTAAGAAAACAATGGACCAACAACTGTATGGACCGAGCACACTTGACACATTGATCAGGCAAGGTTGTAAGGATGGGAAGAACAATGCACGAGCTATCTTACCTGCGTGTCTGTCCGCAGACACTTGGTCAGACGGTGTTCGAGGGCCTTGTTACCCTGTATTGATCGGTGTATATGCGCGCGTGGGTTTGCATGCATGCGCACATGACTAGGTTTCTCCGCTCGGCCATCATTGTTTCCGATTACATCTCTACAGGGTCGACATGGTGACCGGGGTTAAGCGGTTTCGACCACATCAATGGGTCATGTTGTCGAACCTATTCACACCAGTTCTTTTTTACTTCATAGTAGTTGTGTGTACCACTCTGATCTTCACGGTTCTGAACACGATAGTTTACAATTCAAAAGCTAATGACAATGGAACGAACATTGTCAAACAAGATCACATGAATCTGTGGTATTCATTGATTTGAACCGACTATCCGCAGTTCGGCGATTCATTCCCGGAAATGAGGATTGTGCGTGAAGTTGAAGTCCGAAGGGTAGTTAGTTCAAATTAATAAATACCAATTGTCCACACCACTACTGCTCACAAGTAACTGTGATTTAAATGCCAATCTGTAGTACTCACTGCTGGGTAGTGACCTAGATAAAACCAATAAAAGCACTGTGGGTATGATTGTTGGTCATTAAGGCCCGCCGTGACGTGACAGTGCGATAAACCTGTGTATGTGTGTACGTGAGTGTACACAGGGTCAGTTGATCATGGGTACGGATCGATCAGACAGATGTGACCAACGTAGCGTGCGTATGTGTAAACGGAGTGGGGAACATGCATAAGCACGGTTCAATGAGAGGATGAAAACAACAACGCACGGGCCAGTAGTAAGATGAAAAATCAGATAGTGGTGTGGGGTGTGTGCATGCGAAGTGTCAATTTGAGGCAGAATTTATTCGAAAAGTGAAGTACTAAGGACAAAGGGTCCGCCAACGTGAGGATCTGTGGATTCACTTGGGCTGGAACAAGAACATTTTATTAAATAACTATAGATTTAAAAAACAACGTTTTATCTGCAGTATGAGCGAACACAAGCTCGGCAAAATCTGCATAGGGACAATAGCACCAATTTGCTCCTGTTTTTCACATCCTCGGGATTTCCATTTTTCTCTTAAAATGTCTGGTGAAAATGAGGTCAGTTGTATTTGCAGACTCAAATTGTGTAAATCTTTAGGCAGGCCCAACGCGATAATTGGTTGATACTCAATTTACGATACAGCAACAATGAAAGATAAGCAGTAATAATTCATTGGTTCAGTGAATAGTTAAGTTTACCGGTGAATTGCTTATCAACAAAACTTATAAATATGCTCTATTTCTCTACGCGCTTTCTTATCGTTCAATCTTTTCATCCATCCCTGTCAGGTTACGGCCACAGCACCCCTAAAACTACCGAAGGAAAAATATTTTGTATGTGCTATGCTGTTCCCGGTATTCCACTCTGCCTGGTCATGTTTCAGAGTATCGGTGAACGAATGAATACCATTATCACATGGATACTACGACAAGCAAAAAAACTACTCTCATGTAAAAACCGATCTGTCTCACAAACAAATCTAATGCTTGTCAGTTTCACTACCGGTTCCACGGTGCTCACGATCGGCGCGGCTGTCTTTTCTCGGTACGAGGATTGGGGCTATCTGGACTCATTCTACTATTGTTTTATCACATTAACCACTATTGGATTTGGAGATTTTGTCGCATTACAGCGAAATGATTCGCTGGCCAAAAGACCGGATTATGTTGCGTTCAGTTTGATCTTCATTCTGTTTGGTCTCACTGTGGTCAGTTCCGTGATGAACTTGCTTGTTCTTCGATTTCTGACAATGAACACCGAAGATGAGCGTCGTGATCAAATGGAGGCGGCCGCTCATGCTCAAGAATTGCGTCGTTTGCGAGGAGATGTGATTTGGGTAGATCATTCCAATACGCCACCAATTCCGGAGACGAGAAAACACAGTCAGTCGTCCCCATCCCAGATACCTCGATCAGCTCCTCTGCCAAACACTGTTTTGACCGCATACACTCATAATCCTGGCTACCACGAGTTTGACAACCATAATCCAGGTTTGAAATTACCTGGAAGTAACCTGTGGACAAAGTTTGCCTCTTTGTTCACTCCAGCACGAACGGCTCAACTGAGCCGAAGTAAATCGCCCCCTGAACTCAGGTCCAAATCCACATCTCCAGAAATGGAACCAACCACAAATCAACAGAGTCACCTTTTACATCCGTATGAAGTGCTTTCTCCACACAATAGTCGCTCTAGTGCGGTAGACGGTGCCTCGTGTGTTACGCGATCTGCATTCGAACCAAATTGTGTCAATGCCACTTCTGTTGGTTTGTATGCTCGGCATAATCCTTTTCCGGGATTTAATGACATTCGATTCAGGGGTGAAGATAATCGTGCAATGCCAACTAGTTTCCTGGCTCCGACAACTTCTTCTTATGTGGTCAGATGTACAGATCCTCTGTTGTCAGTACCGAAGCATACCGGATCCGGGGTTCCAGTAGAATTTCTCTGGCACGGCCACCCTTGCCAGCACAGTCATGCTGGAATGAACTGGAACCCACACACAAGGGCATCCATAAGCGGAACATCTATGCATCCATTGGTCCTACTCCCATCTAGTATCGGAGATCCGTGGTGTGATTCCGCGAGCTGTTGTTGTTATCTGAACGACCGACACCTAAGTCACGTTCCCGGATTACTTACGGCCAGCACAGCAACCACAGCTAACTCAGCCACAACTACAACCACTACGGGCAGTGCACACGGAGTTGAGGCAAATGATTTGCCAACTATGGATAGTGTGGACGATGATGAAAATCAAATAATGGTCGATGATATAAATGACGATTTGGAGCAAGACCGAAGATATCCACTGCACTCGGTACCAACAAATCCTTTGTACAGACACCGATCTTCCATGGTTGTTCCAAATAGAGGAGCACCCAATGATAGACGAAGATACCCTGCCCCGCTCGATGATCGAAACTCAGATGAGGATGATGCGTCCGTCAGCCGCTATAACAGTAGAAATGATATACTCGTGGAAGTGAATGATGAGAGTGGACCAGATCATCAGGTGATGAGTACACAGACGCATCCAGTTTGTGACACCTCTTGGTTGTTGGAAATGAATCGATCAAATCGCTCATCTGTTTGAATAAGGCATTTTCATATCGATTCATACGATAAATGATCGCTTTTTTTCTTTCCCGGCCCGTATTCAAGCCCTACCCCTTCGACCAACAAATACATCCAGTCGCAGACATATTCTTACTGTTGCAAATATAAGCCTTCCCCTTAACCTTGGGATAAATTTCTCTATTTGAGGATTGTTCTAATACCATCAAAAATTGTCGATCCACATACCATTATTTATGATTACTAGATTGAATTTGTGATATCAACTAACATTTCACTGCAAACGTCCATCGTCAGAAGACAGCATTAGCTCTGAGCACACAAGGAAAGGAAAACACACACAGTCACACACGGACAAAAGCATTAATCTAATTTTTCATTGGTTTAGGTGGCTTTCTCGTGGGTACAGGTAATGTTTTGTGCACCATATTCCAATTCAATTGTACAGAAAGAATGGTGCGGTGTGTTAAATCATGTGTAAAAAATGTGAACAAATACATTCACTGTTTTCGTCCGGATTCTGAGTTCAAACCACTTTCGTCCTTTAATAAACCGGGTTTTCGGGGTAGGAGCTCAACGAACATGGTGTAGAATTGTATAATGAGTGCGTAAGTTGAAGTCTGATTCTGTGCTATAAACTATACGAATTATCTATGGAATTGGTAAGTGAATGACAACTCCAATAAACAATAAATGAAATGGATTGAACTGATTTAATTAGTTTCTTAGACACTAGATGAATTACGTTCTATTTAATTATGTTTCCCATGCTTCTCAAACCCTTTATCTTTGTGGATACAACTTTGGAAACTTTGGAAAATAACATGTCAAACCTCTGCTGGAGCAATATCTTCAAATCTTCTTCATGCCTAACTGTACCGATTCCATCAAGAAAAGCTGTCATGTTTATTAGAATCAATGCTCCGTTTCATTTACAGAACAATAATTTCATTTGTGTGCAGCTTGCGAATGTTTTCCTGAAACTGTCAACAGATCATTTTTTTAAACACAACGCAACAGAAGGTTAGCTAATATGACTCAAGAATATACTCCATAAACCACCATGTATTATTAGTAAAGAGACCTCCAGGTTCTCAGTATGAAATAATCAGAAATACTAATTGATTATTGATACTATGTAAGTGGGAAACTGCACAAGCTTGTCATGAAGTAAACGCCACCAACAATCTTAAACAAATTAACGACTTAAGACGCCATTTTCAATCTTTCATTGTCTAGACACGTCTCAATTAAATTGGTAAATTCCATCAATGCTCTTTATAGAAACCCAAATCGATACTTAAAGGCGAGTTGCGTTGATGTTTGAACAATATTGATAAATTGTTTGGCTAACTTTGCAGTCGGTAATTGCCTCGATTGGGTTAAGGAACGAATCTACGATATGGATTTACGACGTGAATAGGACAGTGATTATAATGCTCGATGATTATAAAATGACATTGAATAAATTGCTGTCATGCATCCCGTTCGAAGTTCTCTGCGGAGAAAACAAGTAATGACAAGCAAAGTATATATATATATATATATATATATATATATTTGTATATCAGAAGCTGGCGGGTAGGCATGGCGGCAACGATGGAACAATTATACGGTAACAGGGGATTGGTGGATTGCGATAAAGAACGGAATGAAAAGAAAGTCGAACATTTTCAGTGGCGCCTCTTTCATCGCGTGTGAAGAGAACACAGAACGTGACTAAGTCCTGAGAGGTGGTGTAGAGCGATTACCTCTTACACAGAACGACGGTCCACACCCAACACACCACGAGGAGCCTCATCACTGTTCACTCTATCTTCCTACCAGATATGGGTAATTCTTTGGAGACATCAGCGGTCGACTACAGAACGTCGATTAACATCCTACAGACAGAGGGGTCAGGTCTTGCAACCGTGAGGCAGAATGCTACGAACCGCGGCAGCACACACTTTCCTTAAGGGACGACCATATGTGTCGCAGTTTGGAAGAAGCTACTCTAGCTTTAGAGATTTGTGATGTGATCTTCTTCACAACACCACCATCCGCTACGATCAAGCTCTCGAGGTACTTAAAGCTGTCACCTAATTCCATCTGATCACCATAGAGGGTGACTTCAGGCACAAGATTCTGCCAATTGTGAACAAGCGCTTTGCACTTAGATGATGCATCACAGATACCATATATCAATATCTCTATCGCCAAGGGATTTCAAGCTTGTTGGATTGCCTGTGTATTGTCACCCAACACGGCTCTGTTATCAGCATGTCCTAAGTCAGGAATTGTTTTCTGTGAGTAGTTTCTTTCCACCGTTTGCTAGACCGGACATACCATAGAACATGCTCTATGATGAAATCACAAAGGAATGGGAATATAGGGAAGCTTTGTCGAACTTCCCCATAGACGGCGAAAGTTGGCCATATTCTCTTACCCGACCTGATGTATGATGACAAAACTCTGAGGATCGACAAATACTCCTCTGGTAGTTCATTCCTCAACAAACAGTTACATAGGGCGATCCTGTCGACAGAGTCGACAGTAGCGCGAATGTCTAAGAGCACAATGATCATTCATCTTTTTTATAGGCATGACGGTGATCTAGCAGCTGTAGAACGTTGAAGATTTGATGTATGCATCCACGGCCGCGCTAAACCCAATCTGCTCTTCGTGGACCTGCTCCTCAGGCATATTGTATAATCGGTGGAAAATGGCGGATGCTCACAGCTTTGACGCCATTGGGATTAGGTTTACACTCCCATGATTGGCGCAGTCACTACGCGGGTCCTATTTAAAGATCGGGACGGCGATTGATTTCCGCCACGACGGTGGGGGGACCCATCTGGTGTGCTCATGTTCAGAAAATAACACCATCAATTCTCTGAAAAGCTTTATTTCGCTAACTTCAAATATAGCTGGGGAAAGGACATCGGACCTCGGCGCTTTGTAAAGTTCCGAGGTTTGGATATCCTTACGGATTTCCGCCTCAGAAGATGGATCTGTTGAGACAGAGCTTAGGACGTTTGTCGGAGTAGCTGCGTGAGAAGGTAACGACGGTGCCCAGCAAAACTGTGTCATGGAGTGCTCTATCCAGCATGCAAGACGCCGCTGTTGATACCGAATGTGCAAACCGTTAGCTTCACAAATCGTTTCTTTCACACCCAAGGCTTTCCCGTCTGTGATCAGAATGAGATGGAACAGTTGACGATAATTTCTCGTGTTTGAAACGCCCACCGAAGAGAACGGACAAAAAATTGCATAATAATGCGTTGTCGGATTCAAGGAAGTACTTCAGTACGATCGAAAGTGTCGTCTGAATTTCTTCTATTGGTGGTTTACAGAGATCTAGCCGATCTGCATCTGTCGCTGACTTGAGTAGGGCGGAAGCCGAGTAGCGTATCGACAGCTGGAACATCTGAGACTNTGGCGAGGTTTAGGCGGTAGTCGGAACATTAAGTCAACAGCCGTTCCCCGTTTACCGAGCGACTGAAATCTAGTCCGAACGGATTTCCCAGATGCGTCTTACCGGCGGACAGCCGGTCTACTCTCCCGCTAAAATCAAGATGTAAGCCCGGGCCACTTTACGCAAGAGGTTATGTAGTTTTCGATAATATCATTTTTCACTGCATCTGGAAGGCAGTCCGTTGTAGCGTACACTGACACGAGGACCAAGAAGGGCTTTACCTACTGTAGAATTCAGTGAGACTTGGACAGTAGTCGAGGTAGGACACGAGAGAACAGTGGCAGAATTTCCACCAGAGGCACTAATATTATTACGATCGTCTGAAGAACCCGAGAGAGATGGGGAATATTTGACGGGAGTAAAGGGCAAAGGCTGAGGAAACGTGAAGGTGTGTACGCTGTAAAATGTTTTCGCTTGATAAAGAAGCTCCAAAGTGCAGAGTCGTCATAAGAGCAGGAACGCTCATGGTTGCGTGCGCTACGAGCTTTTGTACTACTCGGTAGTCCGGCCCGGAGTAGGTCTTATTTGAGGGTACATTCTAGCCTTTGGACATCCAAGCTCAAACTGCAGGGGATCAGTGATGACAAGCCGGTAGCAAATTTTCGGTTCATCGGCTCTTTCTAGAAAACCCTATCGAACAATGGATTTTGACAATGCGGTAATGACCATATTTAGCGGCTCGGCTACACTCGTCACGTCACAGCTGCCCAGGGATGTTTGTGTTCTTTTGTACGGAGAATAGTTTACCAGGAGGTCAATCCATCACACCCTGGAGTCCTGTGGCTGATCGCCTGCGACTGCTTATTCAGGGTGCCGAAGCCCACCTTATTCACGGTTAGCCACTAGGTGACGGCAGTTCCCCTATCCGTGACCTGGGCACGCGCTCAGTACCATACATCTCTCCTCTCCCAAGCAAGCAAGATAATTTCCATGGGTTCACACTATGCCAAAACATTTATTTTGTGTTCATCAATAGATAAGGAAAATTTTCTTTGTTCGAAAGGTAACTTGCTAAAAATAATATATACACTGTATTAGAACAGGGCTCAAAATTTGCAACAATATAACACTTTAATATAAAGCGGGAGAGAAGCTTACATACGAAAGTTTAACAATTTCTTTATGCGGTAGATTGTAACTGCGAACAGACTTTCGATAGGAGATCTTGAACTCAAGGAGCCTCCGTCATATATGCATTGCGATATAGTTGACCTTATTTCTGAAAAGCTGGAGGGGGCGAGGGAGTTGATTGTTCCTCTGTTCACTTAAGCGAGATGATATTTACGGATTCAGTTTTGGAAAATTGACCAACGTTGATACCTGAGAAGGTTGTTTAAACGTACCAAGTCAGATAATACATACAAATAGAAACATTATACTCTGGCAATATGATCGAAAGTGAACGAAATGCATATATTTATGACGCAGAAATACTTAATATTTATAATAGGATGTTTTGGAACTGATAGAAAGCGTTGGTTATTTTTTGAACGGTTTATCAGTCGGGTAAGTTCGACGACGGATCAATACTTTATTTCACAATTCTGGTAATAAATTGTTTT